TTTATTTATTTATTTATTTATTTATTTATTTATTTATTTATTTATTTTGTCAATTGTTTACAAGATAATAGGTATAAGTAAAAACATAGTTATGAATAAATACATGGATACATATAAGAAAAATAAAAAGGAAACAATAGGACAGGGACAGTAGGCACATTGGTGCGCTTATGCACACCCCCTACAGACTTCTTAGGAAAGGGGTGAGGTCAATAGGAGACAGTCTAAGGTTAAAGTTTTTGGGGTTTGGGGAAGAAACCACAGAGCCAGGTAGAGTAATCCAGACATTGACCCCTCTGTTGCTGAAGCTGAAACATGCCTTGGTGTAGTCCTGTGGGGCCCTCCTTCTTAATAGTATCTACCCCCACTTTGTGGAAGTTCTCAGGCTGACCCATCACTTCCTCTCCCACTGTCTCTTGACTTCTCCTCCTGAACAACCATGGGCACTGTGTTGCCCCCCCCCCCATGGACACTGTGTTGGAGAAGATGTTCCTCCTGCCAGCCTGGTCAGGAATCCAGATGGCTCCAGGCAATGAGGACTTCCAGGAGAAGGAGAGGCTGGGACAGGACACTTTGCTCACCCTGGTCCAGCTCATGCTCTGGGCAGGCCACAGCTGGTCCATGTTTGGGTGACAGGAAGGTCCATCACTTCATTTGGGGAGGGAAAGACAAGCTCATATTTCTGAGTGTAAGAAATGCTCCCTGTCCAAGTTAGAAAACTCAAGTGAACATGCCCAAGCAGTGGCCTTGAGATCTCCTAGAAAGAGAGGATGGGGAAAAGACCCTGGAGGTCTTCTAGTCCACCCTCCTTCCAGTAAAGAAAATCCTCAGCATCCTGGACAAACAAATCTCCCACCTTTGCTTTGTCATGGAAGAGAGGGAGTCAACCTCTTTCCAAAAGCACCAGAAGACAAGACAAGAAAGAACGAATAAAACCTGATCAAGGAGAAAAGCAACTTAGAACTAAATGTCTGTGGAGATTGGGGACAACCTAGAAGTAAGAGGAAACTTCCTACAAGTGAGAACAATTAACCAGTGGAATAACTTGCCACCAGAAGTTATGGGTGCTGCATCAGTGAATGCTTCCCAAAAGAGACTGGATAGCCATTGTCTGAAGTGGTGTAGGGTCTCCTGCTTGAGCAGGGGATTGGACTAGAAGATCTCTAAGGTCCCTTCCAACTTTGTGATTCTGTATTCTACTTGAAGCCCCCAGTGATAGAGTCCCATAACTCCAACAGGGAGGCTGCTCCATTGCTCCCCTTCTCTCCCTATCAGGACATTCCTCCTGATTTCAGTTTTGGGTTTCCATGGTTCTAAGATGAGGCAGGGAGAAGCACGGGGTTCAGTTCTGGGCAGAAACCTCATATCTGAATGTTTGTTTTTACAGCATCCCCAATGGTGAGACCCTCCTGGATTGGAACTACTGTTCGAACTTGACCCAAAGACCCTTCTTCAGTCCTGGGCCACCCTGGAGACCCTCCCCGCAAACCCCACCCTGGGCTCATTCCTTCAGTTCTGCAATAAAGTTTGGTCTTTGCATCCCTATTTGTCTCAGTGTCTTCTTCTGCCCCTTTGGGGTTTCCCCTCCCCATCTTGATCTCTGTCCCCCACCCCTATCAGAGGAGCTGAGGGGCAGCACATCATTCTCCAATGTGGCCTTCCGGAGACAATGTGCAGGGGAAGCATCTCTCGGAGCCAGAAACCCCTGTCCAATATCCAGAAACTCAGTCCCCGCTAAGGGCTTACTCCAGAGTTAAGTCTGGGAGAGAGACTCTGCTACTCCCTGATGGCTCCACGTGGATGATCTGACTGGAAGCAATGAGGCAAATCATTGAAAGTTTCCTGCCTTTATTTAATGAAGCAGAGCAGGAATAAAAGAGAGAATCAATAGGGAAAAGCAGGAAAAGAAAAGTGTTAGATCGGGTACAGACGAGACGCGAGACCAGTGTACTTCAAGCTCTTTATTTTAAGTTAAGACCTGTACAAGATCTTGGAGCCACGGCAGCCCTTCATATAGGGATTGCTCGCGGCTCGCCGGCCAATGACAGGGCTTTGAATCTCCCGCAATCGGCTCAGCCAATCGCGGTTGATTCTTAGAAAGCCAATCACGGCTGTTCAGTGGACCAATCGGGAAGCGGTCCGTGTGGACCAATCAGATTTCAACGTTTGGAGTATGTTAATATAGAACAAAAAGGGAACAGCAGGAAAAATATTAGATACATGAGGGGTTCTGTGATGACCCATAGAGTCTCAAAAATAACACAAAAGCTAAAACATGAATCAAGGTCTTGTAATGCCTTCAACAGTTTAAATTCAAAAAGTAGATAATGAAGCAAAAGGAAACCAAAAACAAACCGTATTGACGAGAGTTCCAAGGCAAACCAAGATAATTAATCAAACATTCCAGGAAAATAACTGGGGGAGAGTCCATGGGAAGAACGTCAACAAAGATAAACCTCATCCAAGGAAAACACTAATTTGACTCCAGCGTCTGTGAATACGCAGTTCCAAACTCTGATACAGAGCTCACAGCTGCAAACCACGAGGAGGATCATGGCCCTCTCCTCCTGAGTAGACCTCGCTTTTCCCTGATCCTCTCCTCCCTGCGTGACTTAGGATGGATAGGGAATGGGCCTGGATCCTCCTCTGATTGCTCAGCCAGCCTCTGCCCTTCCCCAGCCTCCTCCACCACCTCTGGAGCCACACTCCCACTCCCTGTTGGCTGTTCCTCCTCTTCCTCAGAGTCAGACTCCACCAGGGGCATGACAGGTTCGAATGCATGTAGATACATGTCTATTTTACACATATGTCATTATAGTTGTCCATACAAAATATTCTTTGCCTGCCATCTGTTCATAAGTCACCAGTAACCTTATCTCCTCAATGTGGAGAACCCAGAGCCTCTGCAGCAGAATTGCTCCTGCCCATCTTCCCTTGGGCCCCTTCTGATGTCCCCCAATGCTCTTCAAAGGCCTTAGTTGTCTTCTCTCCAGAATGGCCACTCCAGGATCTTCAGCCTGTTCCCATAAGCCACGTCCAGGAGGCTTCGTGTCATCTGGCAGACACATCAACGGTCAGAGGGTTGGAAAGAGTTTCGGTCTCGGTTGGAGAAGAGACCATTGTCATCTACTGCTACTTTTCCCACCTCAGATACACCAACAGGAGCCAAATGTCCCACAACTATCTCCACCCCTCTGCCCTCCCCCTCTGGTGTTCCTAGAAAAAGATGTGCAAGGTTTATTTCATAGACAAAAGAGCAGAAAAGCATCGGGCCCAGATGGAGCAACTCCTTCTTGCTTGGAATCCTGGGCTGATCTACGGCCCCTCCCATCTTCACCTGCATCTTTCATAAATCCCTGGAGGGGCGTTAGGTCCCTTCTTGCTTCAAGCACTCTACTCTCACCCCAGTGCCCAAGAAACCCTCCGCCCAGGAGCCGAATGACTACAGACCGGTGGCTCTGACATCCATAGTTGTGAAAACCTTTGGGAGGTTAGTGTTGGCCCACCTGAAAAACATCACAGATCCGCTCTTAGACCCCTTGCAGTTTGTCTACCACACAAATAGATGGTGCGGTCAATATGGCACTGAACTACATCTGGGAACATCTGGAATCTCCAAGGACCTAGGCACAGGTCCTTTTTGTAGACTTCTGCTTGGCATTCAATACTATTGTTAAGCCTGGATTCCCCAATGGGTGTTAAGGAAAACAAACTAAACAGAACGTGCAGCGAAGTCAGATAGGAAGACAGGTAAATGTGTGAGATAAGTTTTCTAGTTAACACGCAGTAAAAATACAGATACGCTTGTGCTATCAAAAATATAGTTTATTCCATTTAAGAATTATAGCATAGTCAAAATAAACGGTATCAATTTCAGTCAAGTCTTGTCGGGGATACTCTATTTGCAAAGTCCGTGTTGAATAGCCAATGTCAGTTCACTTACAATAAATCAGTCCAATCTTTATCTTCTCTCCATTGAGAAATTATCAACACTCCTTTATCTCTCCCCGTTCCAGCAAGAACGCAGTCATCAATCCATCCAGTAATTAGGGATCAATAAGCCAGAGAGAGCGAGCTGCAATTGCCTCGCTTCTTATATAGTGCTTTTACAACCACACCCTTAATTACATTCTTGCTGTTAAAGTTACACACACTTTAACTAACAAACCATGATACCATATTTATTATTTTTACCCAAACCAGTTAGGGTAAACAATGTTATCCCTAACAACTATCATTCCAGATATTCTTCTCACTAAACTGACTCAGCTATCTGTGCCCAACCACACTTGTAAATGGATCATAAGCTTTCTAACAGACAGGAAGCAGCAGGTCAAATCACATCAAATACCTGTTTGGTAAGCACAGGTGTCCCCCCCCCCCCCCCGGGCTGTATGCTCTCTCCCCTACTCTTCTCTCTCTCCACCAATGACTGCATCTCAAAGGATCCCTCTGTTAAAGTACAGAAGTTTGCAGATGTTTCAACAATCATAGGTCCCATTTAAGAATGTGATGAGTCCACATACAGACAAGACATAGATCAACTGGTGCAGCCGGGTGAATATAGAGATGAACATGCTAAAAACTGTAGAGATGAGAGTAGATTTTAGGAGGAGCCATTTCAACAGTGTGCAGCGGCAGCCCGAAAAGCCAATGCAATCCTAAGCTGCATTAACAGAAGGATGCAATCAAGATCAAGGGAGGTATTAATACCATTATATAAAGCCTTAGTAAGGCCACACCTAGAATATTGCATCCAATTTTGGTCAAAACACTATAAAAAAGATGTTGAGACTCCAGAAAGAGTGCAGAGAAGAGCAACCAGGAGGATGAGGGGACTGGAGACTAAAACATAAGATGAATGGTAGCAGGAACTGGGCCTGGATAGTCTAGGGAAGAGAAAGACCAGGGGAGACATGATAGCAGCCTTCCAATATTTGAGGGGCTGCCACAGGGAGGAGAATGAGGGAAGAAGGAAGGGAGGGAGGGAGGAGGGGAGGGAGGAAGGAGGGAAGGGAAGGGAAGGGAGGAAGGAGGAAGGAAGTAAGGGGAAGGGGAGGGGAGGGGGGGGGGGGGAGGGGGGGGGGAGGGGAGGAGGGAGGGAGGAAAGAAAGGAGGGAATGGAATGGAAGGAAGGAGACTGAAAGCAGGTCAAGGGTGTTGTGTGAACAAAGCCAGGTGTAATTGTGAGACAAACTGTTGGGATGGAACCTGGCCAACCATCTGGACTGACCTCAGTCAAGCCTTCTTTCTCAGTCCAGCCTCCCCCGCAGGGCTGTTGTGAAGAGAAGAGCTATTCCAATTCCTGAAGATGGCGATATAACAAAATCCTGACGGTGTAAATCTTGACTTATTTTGGATCCCAAAGGGAAACCCGAGTAGTGCCTTCACTCTGCCAGCAGGTGGCACCACCTGCCCAGGTGTTTGTTGCTCAGATTGTCAGGAAATGCCCTCCCCCACAGTGGGCCCATCCCTGCTTGGCCGAGGCAAAGGGACCCGCCCGACTTGAGGGCTTTGCTGCTTGCTCTGAGCGTTCCTCTTGACACAAATCGCCTCCTTCAAGCCTGTGGTCGACTCCTGCAGCTTCTTTGCTGCTGTGGCAAAGAGACTTTTTTTAAACAGATTAACAGAGTTGGAAGGGACCTTGTAGGTCATCTAGTCCAACCCCCCCTCTGCCCAAGCAGGAGACCCTACACCATTTCTGACACATGGCAGTTCAATCTCTTCTTAAAAACTTCCAGGGTTAGGGCACACCACAACTTCTGGAGGCAACCATTTCCACTGATTAATTGTTTTCACTGTTAGGAAATTCCTCCTTAATTCTAGGTTCTCTCCTTGGTTAGTTTCCATCTGTTTCTTCTTGTCTTGCCTTTGGGTGCTTTGGGGAATAGGTTGACCTTCCCCCTCTTCATTGGGGCAGCACCTCAAATATTGCAAGACCTCTATCAGGTCACCTTTTCACTAGACTAGGCATAACCTAATTCCTGCAACCGTTCTTCTTGAGTTTTATCTTCCAGACCCCTTTATTGCTCTTCTCTGCACTCTTTCAAAAGCCTCAACATCTTTTTTCTTTTGTGGCGACCAAAACTGGATGCAGGATTCCAAGTGTGGCCTTACCAAGGCCTTATAGAATAGAATACAATTCTTTATTGGCCAAGTGTGATTGGACACTCAAGGAATTTGTCTTGGTGCAAATGCTCCCAGTGTACATAAAAGAAAAGATATATTCGTCAAGAATCATCAGGTATAACACTTAATAATAGTCATAGGGTACAATAAGCAATCAAATCATATGAGGAAACAGTCAATATAAATCATAAAGATACAAGTGACAAAGTTACAGTCATACAGTCACAAGTGGGAGGAGATGGGCAATAAGGAGTGATGAGAAGATTAAT